GGAAGAAAATTCAACTAAATATCGCGTCTTCTTCAGTTAATTATAAAGCCGGCTCTGATCTGACACGCAAGCATTTTTCTGAAAAATCTCCCCGTCATGAAAACTTACATGAGAAAACACATGAAAAGCTGTATGGAACAGAAGTTGCCTGCAGAAGTTTTTATTTTATTTTTTTTAATTTTGTCAAAAGCTTAGAATGCAATAGAAATAAGAATAAACATAGGTTTAAATATAAGAAATAGGAACTAATAATTGGGGGCAACAGGACAGGGACGGTAGGCACAATTGTGTGCTTCTTCATTTGTGGCTGCTCCATCACTGGAGGTTTTTAAGAAGAGACTGGACAGCCACTTGTCTGAAATGGTATAAGGTTTCAAGCAAGGGGTTGGACTAGAAGACCTCCAAGGTCCCTTCCAACTCTATTATTCACAATGTTCTCTGTTCCAAATCTCTGAAGTAGTTGAAGCCAAGTTAGACTTTTTCTTCTGCAGCTGTTTTCTTCCAGAATTGATTTATATCCATAGATTGCTAGCCTGTTAGTGACTGTTCAATTTTGATCATGTGACTGTGGGGAGGCTATAGGGGTCATAAGTGTTAAAAATGATCGTAAAGTTGCTTTTTTCAGCACCGTGGTAACTTTGAACAGTCACTAATTGAACTGTTTTAAGTGGAGAACTACCTGTATAGCTGGTCCCTATTTATAGAAGATACGTTAAGAGGGAGAAATGAATAGAGTTATAATGCTGATTACTAATATTGTAAGATTAAAGAACTATTATCAATGTAATGAATACTGTAAATTTTAATTGTAATAGCACAGATGACACACTGTTTAATGGAAGATGATATGTTCAAGTTAAAAAAATAAAAAATAAATAAAAAAAGAAAAAGAAATATGTATCTTCAAGCTCAAAGAGACTTAATTTTCATCAAGACAATTTCACGCATATGCCAACTTACACAACTTTTCCAATACCAGAAATCTAATCCATTTAAGGGCGAGGTGTTAAACGGAGATTGTGAAGCAATCAACCTGCAGTTTATAAGATCAAAATAATAATAATAATACAGAATACCTGCAAGGCTCACTTTAAGTGAAGCAAGTGAAGCTCTTGAAAAATCCAACAGCAGACTTGTGTGTTCTCCAAAAGATTTGCGAATTAAACAACCAAATTAAATCAGAACTTTTGATGTTATTGATCTGGGTTGTCAAGACCACAAAAAAAAAAAATGCTTTCCCAGCAGCAGAAAAAAAACCTGTTGTAACCGTTCCTCTTTCGAAATGGATGCAATATTAAATCTACCCCAAAGACAGCGAAGGGATTGTGTAAAGCAGGTTGGAAATGATCCAGTTTCTGAACTGGATTAATTCAGAAAGATATGAACTCTTAATATGTCCTCCCTGGTACTCTTTGTCTCGTAAACAAAATCCCCCACTCCATCTTTCCTCATCTAAGAAGCCAGGAGAATAGAATATAGAATAGAATAGGTCTTCTAGTCCAACCCCCTACTTAGGCAGGAAATCTGTTTGCTTCCTTTCATCCATCCATCTCTCTCTCTCTCCATACAATTTGAAAAAACAAGATTATTTAATTTTGAAATATTTACTGTACAATGTGGGTTTGTGTATAATATTTTCCCATTCTTGTATCCTTTTCAGTAGTATTCAAAAAATTTCTCTCTCTCTCCATCTCTCATGGAAGAAATTTGTGGTGAAGGTTGCGTCACTCCACTAATAAATCCATGCAAGTTAGAAGCAGGAAAGCAATTGCAAACCAGTTTCAAGGACTACTGTCCATTAAAATTTTCTCAGAAAAATACCAGCCTCTGACCCAGTTAGCTTCATCCAAGAAGCCACATGGGCTACATGTCCATGGAGATTCTCAGCCATCCAACTCATGGTTGTCCCAAAGGTGCTTTTTTCAAAATATCACTGGACTTTCTGGATTTTCTTTGAAGGCATTTCACTTCTCATCCAAGAAGCTTCTTCGGCTCTTTTTCTTCCTGGGCTCCCGCGACCCCCATTTGCGACCTTCTGACAAGCAAAGTCAATGGAGGAAGCTGGATTCCCTTTAGTGACCGTGTGACGAACTGAACTGCAGCAACTCACTTAACCACCGTGGCAAGATAGGTCACAGAATGAGGCAAAATTCAGTGCGTCTCACTCAAACCACAGAAAAGGTGGGCTCCATTGTGGTCATAAGTCCAGGACTACCTGTACTGATCACGCTGCAATGGTCACAAGCGTAAGGACCGGTTGAAAGTTTGTTGGGTTTTTTTCCCTCTCCAGTATTGTCATAACTTAAAACAGGGGTCCCCAAAACTTGGCAACTTTTAAGACTTGTGGACTTCCAAGCCCCAGAGTTCTCTAGAGGAATCAGAAATGCTGTATGGAGAATTCTGGGAGTTGAAGTCCACAAAGTTGCAAAGTTTGGGGACCATGGACTTAAAATATTGGCTAAATGGATGGTTTTTAAGTGGATTACTAGCTGGAAATTGTTCTAACATGAAGAATGTTAGAGTGTTCACTGACTGACTTCACAGAAAGGAATGCACTGATGTTGCTGTTTTTTAAAATTGTTTTTATTTTGCACCCAGAGCTATTTTTGCATATTAAAAGGGAACTGCAGGGGTTTTTAAAAGCTTAAAATTTGCATGCATGACTTTTGAGCTGCACTGAGACATGTTGAGGGTTGCAGCCCCCTGAGGCCTCCTCCGCAACTCTGAAGGTAATTTCTTCCGCTTCACCCTTGTATTTTCTAATTCCATTTCACAGTACATGAGGCAGCTTTAATGCTTCATAATCCCACCCACAATACAATTTGTTTGCTTCGGATTAAGAGTGGCAAGCAAACCCAGTTAATTATCAGGGCCGTTTTAAGGTGTTGAAAACCCATCTAGAGTTGTTTGTTTTTTTAATTTAACAAAATCTAAACTTTTCCACGCATTAAGATTGTACAGTATGTATTAAATAGGTAAAAAAACAATGGTTTGAAACCGATCTTTTCTCTCTGTGTCGAATCTGGGTTTATTTAAATGCAAAATCTGGGGGTGGGGGTGTTAGCAAAGCCTGAATTCAATAGATAACAATAATTTAGTTTAAAACAGGGCTCTTCAACTTTGGCAACTTTTAAGACTTGTGGACTTCAACTCCCAGAGTTCCTCAGCCAACTGAAGAATGCCCGGAGTTGAAGTCCATAGGTCTTGAAGTTGCCAAAGTTGGAGAAACCCAGTTTAAAAACATTTTGAAGAATTTTTTTTTGAGGTGTATGTATTTTTTTTCTTCTTCTTGATAATCAATCTGGGTTTATTTAAGCACAAAACCCTGTGGTTTTTTTTTTTAAAAGAGGGAACCCCACCACCAGCAACCCTAATAAACTTTGTAGTAAGCAAGCATCAAACCTCTGCAGCCGATTCTACAAAAATGTCTTCTACAAAAATGTCTTATGAAGAAACCAGCATGGTTTATTGTTCTTATTGAGTCTGATTTCTCAAGGTGGTTGAAGCGATGTGCTGTGTCCCCATTAAGCACCATCAGGCTTTCAGAAATAGAGAAACCTCTTTTCAATATTTTTTTTTATCTCTGGCCCAGCCATATAAAATAAAATAAAATTTGAGGTTGTTCCGTTTCCCTGTCTTTGGGTGAAGGCAAAGGATAAAATAGTGTTATTTCTTAAGCCTCTTTAGGAGCCCAAGCGTTAAAAAAAGAAACACATTTCCATCTGAAAAACCTGCAGGGAAAGTTTGTGTTTTTAAAAAAGAAACCTGAAACAGCCAAGCTTGCCCCACTTTTCTCTCCTAGTGTTCCTTCTAAGGCGATAAAATACCCATAAGTTTTCCTAATTGCACAATTGTGACACTTTGCACTGGCGTTATTTGCTCTGACTGCATTGCATTCCCAAACATGTGACCCAAACTGCTAGCAGCAGAAGGGTGTGTGTGTGTGTGGAAAGGGCGGTTGGATCAGCAAAGCAGGCTTGCATCTGAGCCGCTCCAAATACAAAGCCAGATAAACGTGTGAATAAGAATCAAGCATGCTAAGAATTGTTATTATAATGGGATACATGATGCCCAGTAGTATGAAGTAAGAATAGAGTCATGATAGAGTAGTAATGAACATGTACTGGTTGTAATGGATATTGCACAAGGTATTTGTACCCAGGTGACACGCTGTTTAAACAAAAGATGGAATGTTTGTAATAATAAAATAAAATATTTTTTTTAAGAAAAACAAAGTCAGGGAAAAGCAAGCCTTACAGAATCGCAGAGTTGGAAGGGGCCTCGGAGGTCATGTGGTCCAACCCCCGGGGCTCAAGCAGAAGACCCTTCCAGAGGGATCTCGGAGGTCATCTAACCCCACCCCCTAAGCCTAACTCAAGCCTGGAGAAGGCAGGGTTCCAGAATCGCGGCGTTGGAAAAAAGATCTTGGAGGTCATCTAGCCCTACCGCTCGCTCCTTAGCTGCAGAAAACAGCCAGTTCGAAGAGCCAACCCGAGGCCTCCTTTCTCTCTAAGTTGGACTCCTGAGGATTTTGCAAATATAGGTCAACGTTGGGGTGGTGTTTTTTTTTTGGGGGGGGGTGTTTTTTAAAAAACGGTAGGTGGGAAACGGGTTTAAGAAAGTCTAACCTTGGTTTCTCCGTGTTGCATCAAGGCTGCTGCTGCTCCTAACTCCTGCTCAGTGGTTTTATTTCTTTTTTGCCGGCTGCAAAACCCCGGATGGCCACTAGAGGGCGGCAACCCACCCAAGTGCCTCGCCTCTTTCTGCCTCCCTCTAGCGGCCGCCCGGATATTGGCACTTCCGAGCCGAATCCACGCGTGGATCTTTGGCACCATAACTCGTTTCTTCCCACCAGCCCACCGCCAGCAGCCCTTTCCCACGCTCTCGGTGTGGCACCCAGGCACTTCTAAAGGGGGGAGAAAGTTTTACACACACACACACAAAAACCACACGCACACAAAAACTCACAAACACACGGGGGCCTTGGCTGGCGAACTCACATTCAGAAGAGCTGCAAAGGATGCGCTCTCGCCGGCTCTCCATCCCCGGCGCTCCTGCGCCACCGCCGTCAGAGAGCCCACACCTGCTCTCACCTACACCCGCAACCCGCAGCTCTAGCAGCCTTCCCACAGCCCACAAGCCCCCAGGGCCCGGGGGGAGTGGGGTGGGGTGGGGAGGCCGACTAATCAATCCACTCAGGCCGAGTAAATCAATCGGTGAAGCGCCGATTCAAGCCAGCATCAGGAGCAGATCGGGTTACCTTTAACCAAGGGATGCGCAAAAAGAGACCTCTGATCCGTAAATGCGCAAAAAGGGCTGTAGCCGCGTAGTTTGCACGGCTGATGGTTCTGTTGTCCTTCGGAGGAGAGAGGGGTGTGTGTGTGTGTGTGTGTGTGTGAGAGAGAGAGAGAGAGAGAGAGAATGGAGCTCAGCTAACACCATCCCGATTGGCTTTGGCTAAGAATAGCATCTTTGCTATTCTTAAAAACAGAGACATTCCCCTGCTAACAAAAGGGCGTAGAGGCAAGGCTCTGGTTTTCCCAGTTGCCATGTATGTCTGGGAAAGTTGCCATTCAGGAAGGCTGAGCGCCAAAGAATGGAGGCCTTTGAACTCTTGGGCTGGAGAAGACTCCCATGAGTCCCTTGGCCTGCAAGGCCATCCAACCGGTCATTCCTAGAGGAGATCAACCCTGACTGCTCTTTAGAAGGCCAGATCCTGAAGACTTGGAGCCACCTCATGAGAAGGAAGGACGGACTCCCTGGGGAAGAGCCGAATGCTGGGAACGATGGAGGGCCAAAGAAAGAAGAGATGGCAGAGAAGGAGGGGGATGGATGGAGACACTGAAGCAGTCAGTGTGAGCTTAAATGGACTCTGGTAGAGGACAGGAAGGCCTGGAGGAACATTGTCCATGGGGTCGCGATGGGTCGGACACGGCTTCATGACCAACAAGAACAGCATCTCTGCAAAAATTTGGCTGCAAAACTGGGCCTGGCTGCTTTTTTCAGTGATGTAACTTTGAATGGTCACTAAATGGTTGTAAGGATGACTCCTTGTACAAGGACTCTAACCGACTCTGACCTGCCTTAGTTTGAATTCAAATTCAGCCAGATATGGCAGCCCACTGGATGCACGTATGTGTATTATTTACACCTGCATTTATGTTTCTCCCTGGACTTAAATCAGAGATTTGGAATATTGGCTGGGTTCATTTTTCATGTTCCTTGCCCGTCTTCCTTTTGCTTCGGAGAGCTGGCCAAGACATCCACTTACTTAAGCCCCAACCTTGATAAATAGCTTCTTTTTCCTAATTAATTCTCCAACCATAGCTGGAAAGTGACCCTTTTTTTCACCCTTCTAAGGTATTAATTAGAAAGTAAGGAAAGGGAAGACGTGACTTTTATTTTCTCTATAACCATGACGTGCCAGACAGGAATTTGATTTGGTCTGTGTAAATAACACAACCATAAATCTGGCACAAGGGTCAGCATTCTTTCCTTCTGAATCTAGGAAAGTGACACATTTACAGCACAGAATAACATCAGAATAACCTCAATTTTTTTTTACTTGATTTCGTTCTCATTTTTGATACCTTAATTCCTTCCTTCGAGCCATGATTTGGATTATCCTCAGCCCCAAAATAATAAAATAAAATTAGAGGTGGAACTCTCGCCTCACAATCAGCTGTGAGTTTGATCCTAGGTAGAGATTAATTTTGGAATAGACTCTCCTGCTGAGCAGGAATGTGTGTGTGCGTGCGCGCACACACACATATTCTGCAGGCCAACAAACAAAAACCTAACCGGAAATTGACTCATCAAATAAAAGCACTAAATAAGAACAATGAGTGAGGGTCCATTCCAACTTCTTTGTACTTAACTTAGGAATGTCCTTTTTTTCTTATATATATTTGCTCTGGAGAGTTGTGTGCTCAGAAGATAGTCAGGCAAGCAACCTTTTTGCAGATTTCTGACAGAACCTTGTCCATTTCACAAGACAAAAGGCACTGATTTAAACCAGGGAAGAGGCCGTGCATTAGATCTCCTCCATGGCTGACCAAAGGCAAACAGATCCCACTTTTAGAAAAGGAGAGATTCAGCTGCAATGATCCAAACCCAGAATCGATGTCCAGAGTCAATGATCTTGAGAAAAAGCACGGCTGCTTTGAAATGCTTTTCGTTGCTGCATCTGCCCTTAAAGCCCTTCCTGCAGCATAAAAATGCCAGATTTTAATGCTCCTTGGAGCATTTCTAAGCTGCTGTCTCAGCTGCTTCAAGGCTAGCCATTCTTCTAACCTGCCATGTATGCATTTAACTTTAAAAAAATAGCAAGGAAAACAATTCCACAATTACTTTCGGAATCAGTACAAAATAGCAAGTAACCAACACCAGATAAACCAAGAATAGAAAGGAATCAATAACACAGGGATACAAAATAGCAAGAAATCAATACCACATCATAAGTCAAACTAAAGTTTTGTTTTTCTTAAAACGTCTGCCATTGTTATTTATCCCATTTGAGTTAAAACGTTGCGTCCTTGTTTTGGCTCGTCACAAACAGATGGATCATGTTTTAACTGCAACGTTTGGTTATATTTTTATGCTTTGAGAGAAAAGCAAAATAAATGTGTAACTGAGAAATCTAATTCTATGCCAAACGTTAATTTTGCAATCTTTTTTTTTAAAAGCTGTATCCGAAGGGTTAAATCTTTGAGATAAACTTAGTTTTCTGGCGGTTGATTTTTTTAACAGCAGTATATTTCTCTGGTAATCTTTATTTATATTTTGTTTTTACAACATCTACTTTTCAGAATAAAAATCCAACTCAGTCTTATGCTCATGATACATGTACATTCATCTCAGTGAATTAAAAAAAAAATCCTCTTGAAAAAGTCTGTACACACCAGTATTTGCAAATAAAATGAAATGAAGATCAAGTTAAAAAATAGCAAGTATTTCCTTTCTTTAAATCTTCAACCAACATTTACAAGGTAGTAGTTTGGAAATCTTTACAAAAAGTCCACTACTAACTACAGAACTTCCCATTTAAAAAATAAGCAGGAGAGAGTATAAGAAACAACAACTAAAAATATAGACAGTAACGGTTCAAGTTTGTATTTACCATATACCTATAAAATATTTAAATATGCAGCATTTTCTATTTCTCTCTCTGGAAATTTATCACGTGACATCATTCTCATCCTCTCCCCCCATCAGTTTTCTAACAATTTTGCAATTACACCTTTCCTCTGTTTGGCTGTCATGTGCTCACAAGCTTCCAGAACATTTGCTATTATTAAAGTCTGTTGAATTGTTTTGGCTTTTACCCAGATTCTTCCATTCATTCCTAACACTAGCTCAAAAGGATATAGTTGTCCCAAATCCCATATGATTTCACAATCTGGAGCCAAGAGTCTGAAATTAAAACAATGGGGAGAGAAAAAAGAAAAGAAATCAATTCATGACATCAATCCAATCTCAATTCCTAATAGATTATTTTCCTTTGAAACCCTAGCCAAATATCCTTGTTAAGACTGCTTTTAATTTCTCCTTTCTGGAAAAGTAGAATTGTTATCAAATGAGGCCTAAGATCTGCAGTCTATTGTTTCATGTAAAGATATAAAACTATTTCTCTATAGCTTTTGGTGTGCAATTTTCCCTTGGTTAGTTTGTGTGTTTGTATGAGTTCAGAGTAGCAAAACTGAAAATGCTGATGAGATCTGCGCATTGAAGAGAGCTAGTGCTGATGGCGAGTGAAATCCATTTAGTACTTTTAGACAAAAGGGAAAAGAAACCAGAAGTAAAAACAACAACAACAGGAATCTAAATTTACTGTACAACTCAAGACCCCAACTGAACCCAAAGTTTATGTTGCTAAGTGAGACATTTGGTTTTTTTTACTATTATTAAAGTTTTATTTTATTACATAAAATACAAAGAAGAGAAGAAAAAAATAGGAAATTAAGGGAACGAAAGGGAGCAGGGAAAAGGGGGTGTGAGATACAAGGGGAAAGACAGAAAGAAAGGGAGGCTTTTTTAGTACTTTGAAGGGGAAAAAGGGTGGAAAAAGGGGTTTCCCCCCTTTTTCTTTTCAGTAAGGTCAAAGAATTTCAAAGGATACAATGAATTTTGTAAATAAAAATGGTGATAGCTCACAAAGATAACTAGATGCAAATAGAAATACATGTTATTTCCATAGCAAGGAAGGTAAAGCTGGAACAGTTCAATTGATTATTTTATTCAAAGAGGAAAGTATGTTCTTATTTGGGTATCACTTCTGGAATTGGTGCTTGGGAGCGGGGAAAAAATGAAACATTGACCTTGGTTTTGTGGATTAGACAGATTTGGTGATATAGGAATGGCAAGTCATATATCAAGGTGTAAAAGCAAAAAGTTGAGGTTGGGGTGTGTTTATCTTGTACTGCACTAGAGTTGGAAGTCTAAGAGCTGGAAGTCAACGCTAAGGGAGACATGTGTTAAGTGAGTTTTTCCCCGTGTTACGACTTTCCCTCGGTTGTCGTAAGTTGAGGACTACTTGTGTTAACTGAGGACTACCTGTGTTAACCTGGGTTAACTGATGAGGCCTAAGGTCGAAGGTTTTTAAAGGAAGAAACCTACACTAGGAAACATGGCAAAGGCATACACGACGTAGTTCCGGAGTATGAATTCCTCCACACCTACTTTCTTATCAGGCCTAGCGAGACCTTGAATAAGAATCCATCCTGTCCTATGATTCCCATGCCGTTCGCCCGGCCGCTGCTGTCTATGCAGACCATCTCGGGTTCCATGTCTTTATTGGCCACGATGAATTGGCCGTAAATAAGGTCACCCACCTGAAGAAGGAAAAAAGAAACAGCCATTCAAATAGGGCAGATTCGCGTTCTGCTATTTTTCACCAGAAGCGCCAAGTGAGGCCCACTTCGGTTGGGTCCTCATCAGGGGAGGCTTCAAAAATTTTAGCAAAGGGTTTCCTCTGCCCGGTTGCTGGATTGTCCCCCCCCCCCCCCCCGGGCTCCAGAGGTTTTCCTCAAGAGAAGCTAATGCTTTTAGCGGCAATACATAACTATGATTATACTTAATATTTAGCCTTCAGTAGACCAAGGAGCTGCGTTTCCAGTTCACATTCTCATACAATCAGAAGATGTATCTGACAATCTGCTTGCTATCTCATATGCTCATATGTTCCCCAAAGGTTTGCCTGCTCTTAAGATAATGCCTTTGAAATTTAAATCACCCATAATGAATGTGCTGGTATTAAAGCCGACCCCACTGCAGCTTCTTAAAATAGCTATGTCTTACTGCAAGGAATAAACCCAGCCGCATCTATTTCTATCCGGATTAGCAGTACTGATTGAACACACTGTTTTTTTATTTAGTTCATGTCCAAATCAAACCTCATGAGCCGTGGTGGCAGAATAGTTAGAATGGAGTACTGCATGCAACTTCTGATCTCTGTCGGCTGCCAGCAGTTTGGAGTCTCACCAGGCTCAGGGTTGACTCAGCCTTCCCTCCTTCCAAGGTGGGTAAAATGAGGACCCAGATTGTTGGGGGCCAGAGGCTGACTCTGTAATCTGCTTAGAGAGGGCTGCAAAGCACTTTGAAGCAGTATATAAGTCTAAGGGCTACTGCTATACTGCCAAAATGAGGCCACCTCTTTGGCTTTGTCGTTGGCCAGAAACAAATCACTTTCAGTCCAATCCACAAGATCAAACCGAGAAGCCAGACCAAACATGCTGACGTTGAACACCAAACCCTTAAGTCACGGCTCAAATCCCACCCAGGTCTGCTCAGAAACAATCCCTGGGGACAACAGGATGTTTTCCCGCTCCTCACTCGTGGTGCTTGAGGGGATCCCTCACCTGCACATTCGGCCTGTTCCTTTTGGTGGCCCCTTCAAAGGCCAAGTAAGAGAGAGAGGCATGCTCGCTGCCTCCAACATCCAGTTTGAATATGTCCCCAGCTTTGGCTGTCACTATGCCGATCACGTGGTCTCCCTTCACTGGGACATACTGGCAAAAATAAGAAAAAAATTGATTTTTTGTTTTGTTTTAGAGGGTCAGAAAACAAAGCAGAGGTATCATGCAACCATCCTCTTCCCTGCAATCCACTGTGAATATAGAGTGTTTTTTTTCTTGCACTTTATGATTCTTGACTCTTGGGGAATGTATCTTTTCTTTTATGTACACTGAGAGCATTTGCACCAAGACAAATTCCTTGTGTGTCCAATCACACTTGGCCAATAAAGAATTCTATTTCTATTCTATCCTATTCCTATTTCTATTCTACATAAATACAGCATGGATGGATGGATGGATGGATGGATGGATGGATAGATGGATGGATAGATAGATAGATAGATAGATAGATAGATAGATAGAT